ACTCAGAGAAAATATAAGTATATTTTAAAATGCGCACAAATGCTGTCTACTTGTCATTAGAAAGTTAGAGACAAGGGAAAGTATGAAGATGTAAGATCTATACTTTCCAACAATGTACAAGGTCATGTTATAAATAGGCTGTTAATAAACACTTAAATAAAAAATAAAGGGAAAATATTGTTTCTAGCTGTGGCAAAGTAAAGAAAGGTTAGTATTAGCTTTCCAAAAAAGCCACAGGCTATGTGTCCTGAAGTTTAAAATCCCAATATAGTTTTTTTCCTCTCATTTTTTCCCCTTCATTTGGCTGCTTTCAGAGGTTTGCCTTTATTTCCTCTGATGGTACGCCATGCAGTGTGCGGGGGCTGGGTGCTGTGTGTGGGAACGCAGTAGGTGGGGACATTTTGTCTTTAACATCTGCCTAAGAGCTGAGCTCCTGCTGTGCAGTACTGGAACCCCAGACAGTCAAGTCCTACCTAGAAAGTTGCGTGTTTCACTTGCTGTAGCCATGGCTTTAATCTTTCAGCCCCACCAATTGACAGAAGTGTACCACTCTGATGTTTTTTCACCTAAAGATGAGCCTTGAGAGTAACATTGAGCACAACAGAGTATGTTAAAACAGTAATTGACATTACATACATAATACAAAAATATAGAGAACACTAAACCCATTCATCTGTCATCTGAGTGATTGATGTTATTTATAATATTAACTTCATATGCTTTTATCCAAAGAGATTCAGACTGCAGATTTCCACTTTATCCAATGCTAATGATCAAGGTCCAGCTGTTTAAGGTGTCTAATGGTCATATAATGGTATCTCTTATGCAACAACTGTAGCAGCAGGGAAATTCAGTACTGTGAAAAATTTATTTGAATTAAATTTACATTGGTATGATGGATTGTCAGAGTTTCAATTTAGTAATTTCAAAACCTCAAGTCACCCCAATTTTTGATACTATCTATAATATCAGTTTGTTGAACATGACCACCAGCTCACCCCATTTGGCTAATCAATACTTCATTAAATGAATTAACTGATAAAGTTAATTAAGCAAGTTGGTGGGACATTTTAATAAACACAGAATGGCTGTCATGCCCCCGAGAGTTCTAGGAACCATCCAACAATGTATTAATAGGTTTTTAGAGAACATAACAAATTATTTTTACTTTTTATTGTAGGTTGAACACAGGGACACCAAAAATATAGACATTCAAACATAGGTATCATACTCTATGTGAGTTAAATTTATTTTAAGTGAGAGAAAAGTATTGACTTTCATCAGAAAATTATTGAACACCCTCTATAAATATTACACAAAATATACTTGGTTTGGAGATGTCAAAAGATAATAGGATTAAAAAATAATTATAATAAATAATTACACATGTATACAAAAATACAATTCTAATTATAAAAAAGTGGTTGTGACGTGTTTTCAGAGGAAGAATTAAATATCGACCTTGAAATATTCATGATTTAAATTTAACAGCATCTGAAATCAATGCATGATGACAGCTGAGAGGAGATTTGAGTCATTTTAGGAAACCCTGTGAAATTGGTCAGATCAATGCTGTCCTCTGTCTGATTGCCTCACAAAGCAAAGAGGATTAAGCCGAGGTATATAGGGGGTCACTGGAGGATAATCTGTAGAGTTCAGTGCAACAGTAAGTCACATGGCTTTCATGGTGTTTGGGCACTTGGGGAGGGATGCCATTAAGAAAAATGGGAAACCTGCAATGTGTGAGGGAGAGATCTACATCGTATTCACTCAAGAGACCCTCTCTAGCATCAATTACGTTTATCTGAGCACTTCTCTGTCTTCGTGCTGGGGCTCCCCTGTGTATGATGTGCTTTATTCTGGCTGAGCTTGTAATTAATGAAACGTGGCTAAGCCATCAGTTGATTTATGACAATGCTTTACATTCCCACGTTCATCTTTATATCGCTGAATTATTTTGGATTTTTTTTCTAGGCGTTTCTGTGCTGATCACAAAACATAAAGAAAGATATTAAACTTCCGCAAAATTTAAACGACAATAATTGAGCATCATGACGCAGTTAGGAAGCATCACGGCAGCTTAGCTGGTAGCGCTGTGTGTGTTTCCTTCAGTGTCCTCCTGCTTTCTGGAGAAATGCAGTGAAATGGTGCTGCTGTATCCCTGTGCTTCCTGGGATAGGCTGCAAATCCGGATGGATGTGCACAATTATGATCAGTTCATTTCGTAATTACATAAATTTGTTTTATCGGTGCATAGCTCCTGAGGTTAAGTAGTCTAATTGAATAATCGACTAAGCTTAATTAAACTGGATACCAATTTCAAGTACCATTTGAGGTCTACAAATGAATAAAATCAATGAAAACAATTAATGTTTTATTTTCATAATCCAATTTCTTACAGGATCATTGTAACTGTTCACAGTTGTAAATTCTCTTCATATTTTGTATTCTGTACAATACTCAGTAAATATGAGGTTGTTTTGAACAGAACAACATACACAGCATTAAGAGCCAGTGATGTATGCATATGAAGATATTCAAAAAGTACAATATAGAAGAAATATTTTTCACCAGTTGGCTTTTGTTCAGACAAACATTTGGATAGGCAAAAATGTACAAAATAGTCTAAATTTGTATTTTGTTACTTTATTTTCTCTTTACTTACCTAAACATGGGTCATGTTCAAAGGTGCCACTACAAGTTACACAACAGAAATGTTTGAGTGGGCAATAGTAGAAATTAGCAGCATAAACAAATATGCTCAAAGTGCCAGGGGCCAAGCTGCTAACTTCCTCCCAGAAGGCCGCCTATACTCTGACAGTCTGTTGCTAGGCAACGACTGAGTCTACATCCACATGAGTGCAATCTCCTATGTTGGCTTAATTCTGAGAAAATGATTCATATTAGGAAAAACAGAAAAACCGCTTAATGAATACAGTACAGAATATTACTTTATACACACACATATATGAAAGCACACTACAGAAAGGGTCCTCAAAGGCCTTATATTCAACATTAATCTTCCATTTAGCATTTAGTTTTCAGCTAGAGCTTTTGAGTGAAGTTGGATCTTGTAAAAACAGTGACGACAAAATACTAAATCAGAGGAAACATAATAAATACTGATACAAATTTTTATGTGCTGGTATTGCCAATTTTATATGTAAGTGCTGACAATCTTATTTCCAATCTATGAGGGCCCAAGAAAGTGCTCTTTTAAAGTAAATTACAATGCACAGTGATGTGATTATTATTTATTATTATTTACTCTGAAACCTGTATGAGCCACACCCTTATCTGACCAATCTTGTTTCAAAGAAATGGGGCCAAGTGTTATATGTCCATCCATCCGTCTGGTTTTCAACCGTTAATCCATTGCAGGCTCACAGGGTTAGCAGTGTCCAAAAATATATAATAAATCACCAGTAATTTGACAAGATGTGAAACACAATAGAACCATCCAATCATTTTCTATAACTGCTTATCCTATTTAGAGTTGCAGGGGGTCTGGTACCCGTGGGCACAAAAGGCAGAGAACGCCCCAGGATGGGGCACCAACCCTTGGAGAGAACAGTCACACATGAACCCCAGTCCATGAGGTGTAAGGTAATAGTATTAAACACTGCACCACACACCACCTCCAAAACGGAACCTTAAATCAAAATTTTACTTTAATGTTATAATTCACATTAAATATTTTATTTTAAAAAATGATTAAGCACATATTTGGGTGGGACTAGACACCTAACACAACCTCAATTACAATGAGTTTTTGAATAGGTTTCAGGTGAAAGTATAGTCTGCAAGGAGGCATATCTACAAATCATGCATTGCAGTTTCACATAATATAAGGCACCTTGGTGTAACAAAGAAGAAGATGATTGTTTTTCAGTAGTAAAATTATCCTGCTGTATAAACAGAGACATCAACTAAATTCCTACGTGTAGATCTATATTACACATATTAGTGGCGCCACCTAGTGGATTACCATTGTTATCCAAAATATATAAAGCTAGATATTTTAATGGATGGATTCAGGCAACGACTCCTGGAATTTCAACTGTCTTTAAACACCATTCTAATTTCTAATTTGTCTTGTTATGGGTATTTAAAAATGCTCTTCATTCACTACAGTTATGCTTTTACAGTTTTTCTCGATTGTTTTGGCACATTCCTTGAATTCTGAATGATAGTCGGTTCCCACGTTCTCATTGTCACCGACTGATCATTTTTCTTTAGCAAACTGATGTCAAAGACACCCGTTTCAACTTTCTTAAGCTTTCTTAAGCACTTTCATGTTGAAAGAAAGAAATTGCATGCATTTTTTAGATCTCGAGTGACTGTACAAAGGAAACAAAAAAGTCACACAGCACTGTGTAACACAAAAACTGCAAAATGACAATACAAGAAAAACAGATTCATGTACTGTAGAAACCCAACAATGCCATATCACTGTAAATTACAGAATATATTTTTAAATCATTTTGAAAGCTTGGTTAACTTTTTTGCCTGTGGTCGATCTAGATGATCCCATACATATATAATTTTGGGTGTAAAATTATTACAGTGGGAAACCACATAATCTATTTTCACCAACAAGACTAAAGCAACTGAAAATTGTGCCAAATTATGACAATTGTACAAAACCATGTGCATATATGTACACTGTAAAACGTTTATTGTCAAATTAACAGTAACTTACTGGCAACAATTATCCAGTAGTTGCTGTACTTAATAACACAGTAAAATTACTGTAAATGCAACTATAGTAGTTTTTAAGCTGTAGAATGAAGCACAGTATTTTACTGTTTTGTGAAGTACAGCATTATACCATTATACTGTAATTTATTTTACAGTGCTACTGTACAACCCATAGCATTATATACTGTATTGTATATTACAATAAAATACAGTTATTTAGTAAAATAATGAAAATGACAATTAATCTGCACAGAAAGCTGAAAGTTTATTGTGCAATTTGAACAATACAGTAGTAATGACACAGAACAATAACAAAATTGCAGCATTAGAGATGAGGTAAGGGTTAGGGTTAGGGGTGAGGGGCAGATGTGGAGGATGGTGGTAGGTGGTGGCATCATATGCAGCAGAGACCCCAACACATATGATGGTCCTGCAAGAAAAAAATATGAAAAATTCAATCACAGATTCACCTACAATCCCCAACTTACATTATCAAAACACATTTGAGGGAATATATAGGACAAAGGGCTGCTCTGCTCTATATTTTAACCTGACACTGTTCTCTTTGAAATCCAATGTGGAGTATACAGTAGCATGAAAGCAACCAGAAATGTTTCACTGGACTTAAAGACTGATTTGTATGTGCAGTAATAATGTGAAATACAAGTTTTATTTTTGTAGGTTTTTATCCTTTTTTAACCAGTCAAATTGACAAAGAATATATATGTATTTTCCCAATTAAAAATACTCTTACCATAATGATTTTGCCAATCATATTCCGTGAAGTCCCTGATAAACGAGGCCACGTGTGGATTCAGGGCCATTGTCTTCCTCTGAACCGTCTTCCCACTGCTCTTGCTGACATGGAACCTGGATGTGCACTTTGAATTTTCTGGATTTATCCTTACGAGAAACCTGTAAATATAAAAATATATATTCCAGCTAGAATACAAAGAATTGTGTGTGTGTGTGAGAACTGAAGCCCATATAGAGAAACAGCGGCAGGGCCAAGTACAATTGATGAACAGTATTTTACCTCTGGATGAACTCCAGTGTTGTTGCTGCCTCTTCTTGGTACTCAATGTTACACATAGTATGATGCAAAGAGGACAGCCAGGGCACAGGTGAAGTCCAGCTGCAGATGAGTGGCTTCTATGACCACCTTTCTCTCCGTGGCCAACATCCATTTCCTTGATGCCAGAATGGAATCTCCTAAAAAGACATACTCTCTGTCACAATTGTTTCCAAAACGTAAAACAAAATGTCTAGTCTAGTGATTGTGTAAGTCAGGTATAGCAGTTTTACCCAGTAGGATTATCCTTGGTGTGTTGGACAGGGACAACTGGGTCTCCACATCTGCCTGAACTATATGAAGAAAAGTAAATAAAATGAAAAATAATTATTTATCATGCATACTGGAAAGGCAAATATTAAGAATACGGATAAAGAGGGTTTCACACATTCAGTTAGGATTGCATGTTTGCCATGTATCCTTCACCCTAAAAAATAAGTGATTTGTTATTCTCAAATCTACAAGAATCTATACCGACTGACGGGACTGTGCCCTAATTTCCCTACAATGGAATACTCACAAACTCAAACTGGTAAATAACCTGTATGTTATCATGCAGGACAATATAATAAAACTATTTCTTACATCAGCCAGAAGGAAAATGGAATCTTCTCTGTCTTTAAAGAAGGCCATCATCACCAATGTGAGAGCAAGGCTGAGGTCAACGTCTTCAGGTTGTCTTTCAAGATCAGCGAGGACTATCCTCACCTCTTTTTTCCAGCGCAGCAGCTGGCCCTTGAAGAACTGGAGCACCCTTCTTCGTTTTCCAGCAATGGACTCCCCAAGTCTCGATTCTAGATCAATTCCTGTAAGTGTACTGAAATGCTGCATCAGGAACCTCTTCATGAACAAGAAAGGCCATTCAGTCTTTAGCTGTTGCATACTAAGTACAGGTGCTGCATTGATGGCACGACGCTGAGCTTCATGTGATCATCATCAGCTCGTTCACTCTTGCCCTATCTGCTCCTTTGTGGCCCTCTTGAGAGAAAATGCATTTAAGCTCCTCCTTCTTCTCAAATAGAGACTCTTGTTTCTCCCTCAGGTAGCTCGCTCGGCTGCCAGTTATTACAGCCATAGTTGTCCGTTTTTGCTCATGTCCTTGATAGTTCTAGCTGACTGTACTCTACTGTGGCCGCAGGCCGTTTTGGTTTTCTTAGCCGTGCAAGGGTATTGTTCCTATTCAAGTTGTCTACTCTTGTTTTCAGTTGTGAACACAAAGTGAAGTATCCACTGCCCATCCGATCTCCTCCGTCTGTTCTGTCTTCAAAACTGTTAGGGTATTGTTCAATGATGCTCTTTGCAACTACAGCACACTGACTCAGAGTGGGATTCAAACACATTTCTCTAATGGCATCTACAATGACTCTGACCATATGTCGCCTGTCTGTCTCTTGTGGGGTTTGCCCATGTTCAATGCATGTTCTTAGACTTGGCCTGGTCTTGTCCCAAGGTACTTGAAATGTTGAGGTCCATGTACTGTACTGTGCTGTGTGGGAATAGGGTGCTGAGATTGCGTGAACTGCAAGATAATGGAGTCAGAGTCAATGAGATCATGTCAGGCGCCACCGAGTCCCTTGGTTGATTGATCAATTGCCCACCATATTCTAAAAAACAAAAACAACCAAAAAGTAGGCTAAAAATGGTGGATGGACAATGAGAACTAGGCAAAATACGGTATTTACATTAAAACAATTTTTTACCTCTATTGTTGAATATACACTCACATAAAAGATTATTAGGAACACCTGTTCAATTTCTCATTAATGCAATTATCTAATCAACCAATCACATGGCAGTTGCGTCAATGCATTTAGGGGTGTGGTCCTGGTTAAGACAATCTCCTGAACTGCAAACTGAATGTCAGAATGAGAAAGAAAGGTGATTTAAGCAATTTTGAGCGTGGCATGGTTGTTGGTGCCAGACGGGCCGGTCTGAGTATTTCATCTGCTCAGTTACTGGAATTTTCACGCACAACCATTTCTAGGGTTTACAAAGAATGGTGTGCAAAGGGAAGAACATCCAGTATGCGGCAGTCCTGTGGGCGAAAATGCCTTGTTGATGCTAGAGGTCAGTGGAGAATGGGCCGACTGATTCAAGCTGATAGAAGAGCAATTTTGACTGAAATAACCACTCGTTACAACCGAGGTATGCAGCAAAGCATTTGTGAATCCACAACACGCACAACCTTGAGGCGGATGGGCTACAACAGCAGAAGACCCCACCGGGTACCACTCATCTCCACTACAAATAGGAAAAAGAGGCTACAATTTGCATGAGCGCACCAAAATTGGACAGTTGAAGACTGGGAAAATGTTGCCTGGTCTGATGAGTCTCGATTTCTGTTGAGACATTCAAATGGTAGAGTCAGAATTTGGAGTAAACAGAA